ATATATATAATATCTATATATAAAATATATATATAATATATATGTACAAACTATTTGAATGTAAGTTGCAGATATATTGACACTGTGCCACTAAATGCTTCAGCCTGCAGCTCTGAAGAACAAGGACACTCTCTTATACGTCAACAATACCATTATCACCTCCTGCATCAGAAACTTGAATTCAGTGATTCCACAATATTATCTAATAGTTAATCCACATTCACACTCCCCAATTCTTCCAAATACTTCTTTCTGGCTTTCTTGTTTCCAAACTAGACGTTAATCAAGGGTTGCACATTGCATTCAGTTGAGTCTCTTTAGTTTGTTTTGATCTAGAAGAGTTCCCTCATTCATTCATTCATTCATTCATTTCTTCATGCATTTTTATAACACTGATATTTTGAAGCAGCTAGGCAAGTTGCCTTTAAGAATATCTCACATTCTGAATTCGTATGATTGCCTCCTTGTGGTGCCATTTAACTCGTGGAACATGTATTCTTTTAGGATTCTTCCCCTCCCCTGTGTTTATGAATTGTCAAGTTGTCATCAGCCAGTGCATTTGATGGTGGTGAGTGACAAGGGGACGTGAACAGTACTGCAGGTGGGCAGACTTGTAATTTTTTTTTTATTACTATACTTTAAGTTCTAGGGTACGTGTGCACAACGTGCAGGCTTGTTACATACGTATACATGTGACATGTTGGTGTGCTGCACCCATGAACTCATCATTTACATTAGGTATATCTCCTAATGCTATCCCTCCCTGCATCCCGTGACAGGCCCCGGTGTGTGGCATTCCCATTCCTGTGTCCAAGTGTTCTCATTGTTCAATTCCCACCTATGGTGAGAATATACAGTGTTTGGTTTTCTCGTCCCTGTGATAGTTTGCTGAGAATGATGCTTTCCAGCTTCATCCGTGTCCCTACAGATGACATGAACTCATCCTTTTTTATGGCGGCATAGTATTCCACAGTGTATATGTGCCACATTTTCTTAATCCAGTCTATCATTGATGGGCATTTGGGTTGGTTCCAAGTCTTTGCTATTGTAAATAGAATTCCCTTTCCTAGCCAAGGGAAGCTGTGAGACATGGCACCGGGAAAATCAGGTCACTCCCACCTTAATACTGTGTTTTTCCAATGGTCTTAGCTAACGGCACAAGAGTGGGTGAATTTTATAGAATATTCTAGAGAAAGGGAAGAGCATGAAGGAAGTTTTAGTGACACGACATCACATGGCTCCCTTATAGAACTCTGTATTCAGTTTTCTCAGGTCTAGAAATCTCCTGGTGGTTTCTGTGTCCATTTTGCATTAATAGCACTTAAAAATACTTTAAAATACTTTAAAATACAGAATTTTAGCCTTCCTGTGTTGTATAGCACCAAGCCTTGCCTGAGCTGAGTGAGATCCACAGAAGCTTAAACAATAGCTGTAGCCTGAGCAGGCTGCGGGGCAGCATTCTGTCATCTTTGTGTGCCCAGGAGTGTGCTGTCCTCACACATCTCATAGATAGCAGAAGCCATCTCTATCGCATCAAAAATTTAGATAATTTTTGTCTTCCCTCAATCACCTCACAAGAGAGGGACATAGGCCATAAAAGATCCAGAGATATTGACCATCTTCACTGCTGGCTGTAGCATCGCTGCTGACATACATATAAACAGAAATAAATAGCACAGTGGAAAGCGGATAACAGTCTTATGTAAAAGATTGAAACTCTCATGGTATCTAAAGTTCAATTATGACACAGTGCTGGTGGCTTGGACACAGTTCCTTGAAAACCATAGTTCAAGTCCTAATTGTACCTTTTAGAAAGAAGACACTAGCAACATATCCGACCCAACTCATCCCTCTGGGCTAGAGTATCAAAGAGAAATAAGGGATACGCATGACCTGCAGCGAACAAAGCAGAACCCAGTCTCTGAGGTGGTGAGGCCCCACCAGTGTGGAGCTCAAAGGTGTCATTGTTCTGATCCTCTTTATAAAGGGAGCTGCCCCGTTCCTCCCAGCACAGAGTTGGGAGCACCTCCAGAGCCTCCTGCAAGATGCTGTTGATTCTGCTGTCAGTGGCCCTGCTGGCCCTGAGCTCAGCTCAGAATTTAAATGAAGGTAAAACAGAAGGGGGAGAAGATGCGGTGACCCTGATTGGGGCTTAGGAGGTGATAATGGTAATTAGGGGGAAGAGAAGAGAACGAAAACCCAGATGGGGCTGCAGAGTTTTCAGGCCTGGGATCAGGAGACCGATTGCACCCTCATTCCACACTAAGGGTTTCCAATTTATTTAACGTACAATGAAATCCAATAAAGAATTTGTTCCAGGGGAATGAGAAGGTAAGATTTGCATTTATAGAGAGATATGACTGTGCTGTGAAGGATGCAGTGGAAAATGCAAGGCAGATTCAGAGAAGTCCAGTTCTGAGCATCCTATACTGATCTCATTAAGTACAGAGGGATGATGGTGGCTTTGCTGTGTGGTGGATCAGCATCGATGATGGAAATAAACACACATCAGAGATACTGCAGAGAGAGAACTGGATGGAACACTTGTCTCTGTCTAACTAGAGATATAGAAATATCAGAGCCAATGATTGTCGTTTATCTCTCCCCTACATGCTGTATTTCAATGTGCTGGGAGTGGGATGGGTAAGATTGTATTGAAATGATTACTTCTGTTTACGCCAATTGAGAAAGCATGCGTACAGAAGCAATGTATTTATAGGTGGCAGAGGGCATAAGAATACCAAACTATCACGTTGAAGTCCCTGGCATGTGTAAACTAAATCCGCATTAAGTCTTGAGGATGCTAGGGAAGGAAAAAAGGGGCTCTTCTATGTTGAGTTCATGGTTGTTGCTCTGTGTCGTAACAACCGTGCCTCATCTTACAGCTTCCTCCCCTTTCAGCAGCTTCACAGAGAGTGGCTGACAAGTTAACTTAGGGGATTCATGGGGTGGTGAGAAGACCCTTTTCCCTGTAGAACACTTGTGAGTCTTGAAAGATTCAAGATGTAACTTTTCCCATCATCCTGTGTTTCTCTTCTAGATGTCAACCAGGAAGAATCTCCCTCCCTAATATCAGGTAAATCCCAATTTATTCTCAATCTGTTTTAACTGTCTTTTTCTGCTCACAAATGGATCAGCTCTCCAGTGTCTTCTTATCAACATGAACCTTTCAGGAATTGATTAATGTTAGTGCCACTAATAAGAGGCAATCTTCATGCAAGCTTGATTCTGGGGACCGTGAGCAGGCCACCTAATTGAATGGCAGAGATGCTTGGCTTAGATGACAACAGGAGTGGGTTGACTCATCCCCCTGGCCAGGAGTGCCTCCTGGGAGATGACAGATGACTGGGCAGCATCCTCATTCTCACTCATCTTTATACTGAGAGTCCTCCAACTGCTTTTTCTTCCCCAGTGTTCTATTCCAGAGATCTATATCTTCACCAAAAATGCAAAGAAATTAGTGTCTTGGTCCCATTTTTGTGTGTTTCCCCCCTCAGCTTGTTACCCTAGCTGATCAAAATTTACTGCAACTATATAGTGAATCTTGTGTGGGCTTTTACTCTGTCTTTTCCCTTCTCTCTTTCTACTCCAGAACATCAACAAGGACCACCCCAACAAGGAGGCAACAGGCCTCAAGGTCCCCCACCTCCAGGAGGGCCACAAGGACCATCTCAACAAGGAGGCAAGAAACCTCAAGGTCCCCCACCTCCAGGAAAGCCACAAGGACCACCCCAACAAGGAGGCAACAGAC